AGTAGGAAGTGAAGATTATGAAGATATGGAGGATATATAACAACTGGTCCTTGACTTGAAGAGGTTAGGATTGTAGAATTCGGTGAGACATCAACGCAGGAGTTCGTTTCCAAAAAGTGGCGGATGTAAAAAGTTTCTCCTTTGCACTTCGTCTGTACATTTCGAGCGCATCGAAATACTACCTGGCCGACACCTCCCACGACTTGGGCTAAATTGCTAAAAAATAAAAAATGCTTCCACTGCTACACACCTCACATGACTTGCTTCATTCCACTCTGTATAAACTTCATTTTGGCCAGACGTTCCTAAATCAGTTGATTTAACTCCACCCATGTCAAACAACCAACGTAGCATTTCGATATCAGTCAACATCGTCAGACAAATTGCGTCTGTTTCGTCATGCCACTGAACATATTACAATAGTTTCAGTTTGAAGAAAGAAATACGGTTTTGAAGTTAGGCTGGAAATTAGTGCCAATTTAGAATTTGACTAATACCAAATAAAAATACAATAAAATGGGCAATAATTATAAAAAGCTAATAACTAATAAACAACTAACAAATAAAAACTAAGCAAAAATTCTTCAGAACTGTTAGAATCTCCAGATTTTCTAAAGAAGTAATGTTTTTTTTTTATTTATTAATACGACAGATTTGATCACTTTAAACGTCATTTTTAGTGCAATCTTATATTTGAGTAGAGGTTCCGTTTATTTATTAAATAGTATATCTATTTACTTTCGTCTAACGGCTTGAATATTCGATAAATTTTATTAAAGAGAAAAAAACGCGCTCCCCAACAAGAGGCGGGGGAAAAGTGTCTTTAAGCTAAATCCTTCTCGTTATAAATTCCTGAAATGTCTATATCTGCTCAGTATCTGTATTAAAACATAAGCAAAGCAGTCTTCGGAAGAAAAGGAGAGCGCATATTTTTTCTTTAATAAGATTTCCCGTATATTCAGGCCGGGAGAGGAAAATAAATATACCGTTTAAATTAACTGAGCATCTACTCAAATACAGGTATCCACTAAAAATAATGCTAAAATAATAATAATAATAATAATAATATATATATATATATATATATATATATATATAAAATAAAGTAATAATATATATATATATATATATTACGATAAACGTGCAATCAATTTACAAATTCATGAATTATTCACACAAAAACAAATGCAAAAGGTTAATGATTTAATTGGCGAAAATCCATCGTCGAAACAATTCAAATAATATACAAAAACCTCCGAATCCGTTATTTTATAGAAACAAGGATCTTTTCATTCATAACGATGGATTTTGCCAATTAAATCATTAACCTTGTATTTGTTTTGTGTGAATAATTCATTATATATATATATATATATATATATATATATATATATATATATATATATATATATATATATATATATATATATATTATTTCATTATTTAATATATGTATATATATATATATATATATATATATCCAAGTATATGATTGGTGTATACGGAATGAATTCCAATAACCAACAATTACTATTCTTAAAAGAGTGCTCAATACAGAGTAGAGCAGATATAATTATTTATTTAAAAATTATAACATAAATATGTTATAAAATCAGTACAAAAATAGCCATTTTGTTTCAACACCTCAGTATCATATCAAGAGATGATGTTGAATTTATTTTACATTCAACATCATCACTTGATAAGAATTATATATATATATATATATATATATATATATATATATATATATATATATATATATATATATATACAGTTTAAAATGAGAACAAATGAAGTAAAATTCCACTATACATAACATTTAATTTAAAAGAGTTTTTTTTTTTTTGCGAAATAATGTAACTACTTGCTTCTGTCCATAAGGGAATTGTCTAGGATTTGTATGCAGACAATTTCGTGTCATGACCTATTTTTATTCTGTTTGTTTTTTGTTTTTTTTCGAAAAAAAAAAGAGGAAGTATTCTGCTTTTGAAATTAAATAAATCATTCACTCGCCTGTAGTTTAACATCGCCCGAGGAGACACATTTGTAGTGTCGAAACATTATTATAATTGTGTAGAGACTTTTAACATGTTTTGTTTTAATAAATAATAAAATTATACATACTCCTCTTCCTCTTTGTAGCTCTAAGCAGTGGTTGTCCGTCTTACTATCCCACCCAGTTCAAGTTCTGTCATCCATTTTCTGCCATCCATATCTGCTGGACAATGTAGTCATATTTGAACGGTTCCCTCAATTCAGGGAAACTCAGGTTCTAATCATGCTTGAATCCATTTCTTCTACCCACAGCTATTTCTTGAAGTTTCGTTTCTACACGAAAGTCTTCAGCTCGTAAACCAATTTATCCCACTCTACAATGGCCAGAATTTTTTCATCAAATGCATAACACAATTAAATGAACAATTAAGATTACATATTTGTGCGTTTTATAATATATATATATATATATATATATATATATATATATATATATATATATATATATATATATAATGAAAAAAGGCTCAAATACTAATATTCCATGGTTATAATTTATTACATTGGAATCGTAATCAGGATCCAATTCATCAGACCTAGAAATTCAAAATAAATCGGAAAATATAACTCCGGGTATAACAAATAAAATTTAAGTGAGAGTGTATGTGTGGGAGTGGGAAACAAGTGTGGGAGGGAAATGTATGAAAGCTCTAGAGAGGGGTAACAGAAGAAAGAAGAACAGGAAGGCCTAAAGGTGAAGGTGGGGATTAAAATTTAACAGAGAAGTTTTCCAGCGAGGAGTTATATATATATATATATATATATATATATATATATATATATATACTGACCACTAATATTATCAATATATATATATATATATATATATATATATATATATATATATATAGGCAGAGAGAGAGAATTAATGTGGAGAGACTTATCACTTATCTGAATGGTGTTGGTTCATTAATGCTGACTTAAAAGGTTTCTTGAGCACATTGCAGTAATGTTTTCATTCTTTAGAGCAGTTGGCTTCCATATATTTATATATATATATATATATATATATATATATATATATAGATAGATAGATAGATAGATAGATAGATAGATAGATAGATATAGATATAGGGCGTTTGACGATATTGCGACCAGAAACTATATATATATATATATATATATATATATATATATATATATACTTGACTTTATAGCGATCATAAAATGCACATGCACAAACACTCGTACACACACACACACACACATATATATATATATATATATATATATATATATATATATATATATATATTTCGAGTGTAACAGCAAAATTGTCCAAATCGTGTCACATGATAGCATAATTTTCCATCCCACAAAATGTTTAATTTCGAAAAAAACACTTATCTTATTGAGTTACTTTTTTCCCAGATTTTCAGATAACACGTTTAGCCATCTTGATAACATTTCTCTTAAGAATCACTGAAAAACCTTTATTCACCTCGAAAAAAATAGGTTATTATCGCTCTGTATCTGCCCCAATGTTTTCTAAAGTGAGCAATGGTGAGAGGGAAATGTCATTCAGGCCTTCAGCTATGGCACCAATATTCATACTCCGGCTTCCAACTCCAAAGTCCATTCAAGAACCATCAAGAGAATGGTAAATAAGTTTAAAATAGAGGGAGCAGTAGAGAGGAAATCTGAATCAGGAGGTCACAGCAGGAAGAGGGGTCATCATTTCAACTTTGGGCTAAAGAGATGAATTAGAAAAGATCCAACTCAATCCATAAGACGAGTTTCAAATATATACAGTCCAAAGAGCAGTGACAAAAGTCTTGAAAATGAAATCGTACGCGAAACGGGTGAGGCAACTGTTTACTCCAAGAAAGAAAGGTATAATGTTAGAGAGGGTCAAGATCATCTTAAATAAGTTTGAAAATGATCCTAGAATATATATAAATATATATATATATATATATATATATATATATATATATATATATATATATATATATATATGAACTTAATTTCAATCCTTCCGATCCTTAGTTATGATCAATTAATGATGAACATGTCATTTTCATTTATGATCGATTTTATCACGATTCTTTTGTTAAGCTTAGAGAGTAATTAAACATTCTTATAGCTCAAGGTAGAGTCCAATAGCGTTATAAAAACCTCGGAGAATTCCTGTTAGATATCTCTAAGATACAACGGTTCAAAGTTGAATCTAACAAAGGTCCAATTTTGCTGTTACACCTGGTATACATATATATATATATATATATATATATATATATACAGAGAGAGAGAGAGAGAGAGAGACGCAATTTCTGTTTGCTATATTGACAAATACACTTACTCTTAACAGTATAGTACTTCTATAGCTTCTTCTTCTATGTGCCATGTCCTTTCAGCACGTTAGTGATCATAGCTCTCCTCAACTTCCTGTGTTTTGTAGAAGCTACGACTAGTGGAACTAAGGAATATAGTTCGTCTGAACATTTTCCATGTTAATAATGGTACCAAGACTTTTTCGGAACTGTCAATCAAATAAAAATCCTAGTTTATTTTTCCGTTATTTTTTTCATTCAATGCCAACATGACTTTTCACATTATCAATTATCAAGATATATTATATAGTGACTTCGATACGGTAAAATGGACTTACAAAAACAGGATTAGGGAAAGAAAGGAAAAACCATTATAAAAGAGACTAGATAAAAGAAAGTAAAGGTTAAGGAAGGAAGGAAAATCTATTTGATTCATTTTTTACGGCTTATCAACCCTTTGGAGGTTATTTAAAGACTGACAACTTTTTTTAGATTTAGAGATACAAGTGTTACTAATTAACCCATAGCTGGAAGGGAAAGTGGTGCATTCAAACATTTCCCAACAGTATTTGCGCGTAAGTAAATATAACGAACTCAACGGGAATTGGAACACGGCTCTCCGATTTCCAATTCCGAACCATTATCTATTGCACCACCTGCACATCCGAGCTTACAACATCTGGTATTCCTAAGAGGCTACTCATCTATGTACTGACCAGGCTCGGCTTTGCTTAACATCGGTGATCGTACGGGAACCGGGGTTTCAATGTGATGTGTCTGTAAGTCGGTGAAGAAGTTAAAGGGATACAGTTACATGAAGATAAAATTGTTAAAAGAAGAAAAGAACTGGTTATAAATGTACATACGTAATATAAAAAGATGAAAAAAAAACTTATATACGTAAGAATGAAAAGAAAAAAAAGAAGGAAAGAAAGAAAAAATGAAGAGTGTAACAAAGAAATAATGAAAGATAAGAATAAAATGAAAAATAATTAAAAGAAATTTAGTTTAAGAAAGAAAGATAGGCTTGGAATAAACCTAGAAAGAAAGAAAGAAAGAAAGACGGCAGGCCGGCCGAACAGACGGATGATCGAAAGAAAGAAAGAAATCTTACAGAAATGAAAGAAGAAATTAATTATTTCATGTAAAAAAAAGAAAGAAAGAAAGATTCAAAGACAATCTTGCAAAAAAGGAACTGTCCAACATAGCAAAAAGAAATACTCAAAGATGAAAATAAACAAGAACAAATGATAAAACAAAGAGACAAGCAATTCAAAGCAAAAAACCAAAAAAAAAAGAATCAATTTACAAATCATTTCTCATTCAGGTTTTTGATAATTTTTCGTTGAGTGAATTTGAAAAAAAAAAAAAAAAAAATTACCAAGATTAAAAAACATCATCAGACATTCTCCCTGTTAAGATTTCCTGATTAATCACACGCACCTTAGCCCCAAGCAAACGTGTACATCACCACACACACAATCTTCCTATGTCTCCTACCCCGTTTTTTCAAGTAGATTCTTTGACACCGGAAGTGCTTCAGTTCTGCCAAAAGGATTTCAGCACTTCCTGTTGTGACCAAAGATTATTTGCCGTTTCATGCTGCAAAAAGAAAAGAAACAAGAAAAATAAATTAAAAAGAATTAAGAAAAAAAAAAAAAACACAAAATAAAGATAACCACTCCTATTTTTTTTTTTTCGCAAAAGACCAACTGCTTGAAAATTGTGTAAATATATATATATATATATATATATATATATATATATATATATATATATATATATGTGTGTGTGTGTGTGTGGGGGGGTATGTATGTATATATTTATATATATTATATATTAATCGAACTATATCTATCTTCACACACACACACACACACACATATATATATATATATATAATATTTCTTTATTAAACTTTTATTTTTTCTCCATTTTAATCACTTTTTTCTTCTCATTCCCTACCCTCTGCTTTTCCACACTTGAAAGATTTCCTCAAACATTTATTATTGCTTCTTTTTTTTTTTCCTTCGTTTCTAATTTTCCTTTTTCTTGGCTCATTGGTTCTTTCGTTCTTTTCCTCCCTCTCGCCACAGTTTTCTTTCCTTTCTGTTTTTTTTTTTTTTTTTCTTTTATTGCGGGTGAGTGTACTTTTTTTTTCCGCCGGTTCTTTTTCTACTTTTTCCTCCTCGCCTGCTTCATGCCTTTCACCCATTCTATTCCCACTTCCCCTTGTTCAAGAGCCATGCAAAAACCATTTACATGAAGCATCGTCAACAACCGGATGTGGCCTGTCGAACACAGCCACCTTTCTGTTCGTTCATAGGAACGGGACACGACTCTCTTTTGCCCACTCATTAAAAACATCATCCGACGAAGCCCCTGCCAAATTTCTCCCTATAATTTAAAAAAAAGACTATAAATCTTCTCTCCCACTTAATTTCTTTCTCATCTCATTTTTTTTTATATACATATATATATATATATATATATATATATATATATATATATATATATATATATATATATACCACTCCTTGTTTCCTCTCCTCTAACTTTCATCTCCAGGCTTCTGACAATCCTACTCTCCTTACTATATATTTTCTTTATATATGTATCGTTCCTTTCTTTTCTTTCTTTCTTTTTTAAAAGACTCTTTTTGCTTTCTCACTCCATATTTTACAGATAGATAGATAAGGAACAGACCGAGATAAATAGATAGATAGATAGATAGATAGATAGATAGATAGATAGATAGATAGATAGATAGATAGATAAGAAACAGACTGAGATAGATAGATAGATAGATAGATAGATAGATAGATAGATAGATAGATAAGGAACAGACCGAGATAGATAGATAGATAGATAGATAGATAGATAGATAGATAGATAGATAGATAGATAAGGAACAGACCGAGATAGATAGATAGATAGATAGATAGATAGATAGATAAGGAACAGACCGAGATAGATAGATAGATAGATAGATAGATAGATAGATAGATAGATAGATGTTTTCTTCTGTTAAATATCTCCTCTAAATAGATTCTATTTTAGTTTCTTTTCTCTTTCCTCTCCATTTTGACACGCATCTGTTACTCTCTATGTATACTATTTTCTCTCTGTTCCTATGCATACTTTATCTCTCCGTATCTCTCCCTCTCTCCGTATCTCTCTCTCTCTGTATCTCTCTCTCTATCTCTCTCTCTATCTCTCTCTCTCCGTATCTCTCTCTCTCTCTCTCTCTCTGAGTTTAGATATTTCAACTCATCAACCGTTTTTATATGTTAGATTCCTACTTTAGAATAACAATGAATGGAGTATTCTAATAAAGCATTGATAGATATGTTTCAGAAACTCCATAGCCTAAACATACAAAAATATTTATTTTTAAGATATTCTCCTTCGTTGGCAATACACTTAATTCACTTGTAAACATTAATCCCATACATCGAACATTATACAGTGAAAATTCCAGATGAAAATTTAGATAGTAGCTACGGCTACAAATTTATTGATTCGTCCTTTTTGCGTCTTCACAATCCACTCAATATGCTTTCATCAAAAATAAAATTATTGATCCTAAAGAAATCCGTTAGGAGGTTGAAACGTTAGGAGGACTTGTTTCCATTTTATCATTCAGTTACTCACTATCTAATAGCCTGATATATTGAGATTATATATATATATATATATATATATATATATATATATATATATATATATATATATCTGCATGACTCTTTGAAGAACTTTGTAATTCTTAACGCCTTTCCTACACTTAAAACTAAAAGCGAACCATTTCACCAAAACTGAACAAAAATAACAACAGATATTCGTACCGGCGATATATATGAATCACAGAAATCGAACATTCTAGAATGAAAGCTACAGATCAAAATTCAGCTGAATGGTACATTCTTGCTAGGCAATAAGAGGGAGGGAGAGATCAAACCCACTGTATAAGTACATTGATCTTGATCCTCTCTTATCGACCAGCTCATGTAGTTCTGGGTCAGACTGAACTAAACAAAGAAAACAACTTTATTTTTTTCAGCAGACCTATCCAAGATACAAACTTAGCAAATACTTTATCGCTAATCACGTTCTAATTGTAAAATCTGCCGAAAAGAAATAAATAAGATAATTTTATATGTTAATGACAATGACATTAGTAATTGTTTCCTTATAATGAAACTTTCTGTAATCATTGACCAAGCAACCAGTGCTATATTTAGTTGAAATTTAATTTAAATGAAATTTAAAATCTTTCCCATAAAATGATTTTTCAGGAAAATAAGTTTCTCAAGTCCACTAACTGTTGTTGCTCTTTCCATTAATGATAGGAGTTTCCTTCGTAACCTTTTTTCGGAGTAGATTGCAATATCAACATCTTGATTATGTCATTATTTTCTCATCAAGTTACATGTGCTATGATAAATGCTAAATAGTTTAAACGAGAAATCATATGTAAAACTAATAAGATTATGTTACATGTGATAAAAAGATTATTTTTATCATATTTTGTTGGTTTTAATCCATTGGGGAACGACCTGAAAAACATCTTCACTTCCCGAATTTATAAACAAAACACAATGATGCATGCTGGGATTTTTTCCTCGCCAATAAAAGTAGGCCAATACTAAGTTTCATCCGACTTTCTTGTTTGGAAGAGAGAACGCTGCGGTCGCTTTTCTGCATCCCCTTTCGTGTGTTAAAACGATTTTTAGTTTGTTAACTTTTTGCCTTATTGCTGTTGTTTTGCCTTGCATATATTTTTTTATTTACTTAACATTATTTTTGCCACGTTCTTTTTTTCTTTCTTTCTCTTGTTATTGTTTATTCCAGACGTTGTCAATTCTGTTGGGCATTTTTATCAGTTATATTCAACCATGTCCAATTTCCAACATATATAAAAAACATATTATACATATGAAAAAAAATTTACATATCACTTTAAATAGGTAAAAATAAGAATTTTGCAAATGATAAACACTAAATCATATGTAAATAAACGTATTGTAAAATCAACCAAAGAGAAAGACTGGGCAGAATATGATATATAATTTCACTATATAAGATTAATGGACAGTGATAAAATGGAAACAAATCCTATGTTACATTTTTCGTCCTTCGAAAGGAATTCATCAGGATCAATTTATTGATTAAATCATATTGAGTGGATTGTGAAGACACAAAAGGCTGAATCAATAAATCCGTAGCCGTAGTTACAATCTAAATTTTCATTTGAACTTCTTCAAGATCATTGTCCTGATCTGGACTTCTTCGGGATCAATAATGTTTTTTTTTTATTGCTGGAATCATATATAGATACGAAATTATGTTCAAAAATGACAATTGGAAAAAATCTTAGTTTTTGCCGACGCGTTTTGTCTTCCGACTTTATCAAGGCAAGCAATGAAAGCGAAATGTTTTGTAGCCACAGTTACATCAAATCCAAAATTTAAAAAAAAGAGACGCTCCGGCATAAGCCTCTTTCTGGGTATTGGTATTAGTAAAAAGGAAATTATCAATACCAATACCCAGAAAGAGGCTTACGCAGGAGAGTCTCCTTTTTTTTAAATTTTGGATTTGAGGTAACTATGGCTACAAAACATTTCGCTTTCATTGTTTGCCTTGATAAAGTTGGAAGACAAAACACGTCGGCAAGAATTAATTTTTTTCCAATAGTAATGGCTGCTTAGTCAATGAATGCCAAATATTTTCTTTTAGGGAAACGGCTAATGTTACCAGTACTATTATCA